CTATGGGGGGGGGGGGGGGAGTGTGCCTTTTGGCAGCCCCCCAAACCCCCCTCATTTATGTGTTCCTATTGGTGAGAACCCCCCCCCTTTTTTTTGGGGAGGGCTTGGGGGGGGGGCGGCCCCCCCAAAGACCCAAGCGTTTTTTTCCATACCTTTTAAACTTTGGGAAAAGAAGGGGAAAAATTCCGGGGGGAGGCCAGTCCATTTTACTGCAAGAAACCCCGTTCCCTGAGGGCCTGGGGGCCCCATATTTCCCCCCAATGGTGGGGGGGCCAAATTACCCCCCCCCCCCCCCCCCCCTCGGTGACACCGTGCTCCTCATCGTGGGCAAAGTGCGGTAGCTGTCTCTCCACCCCACATTGGTATCAACCCCACGTAACACAAGCCTCTGCAGGGTTCGGTTGTAGTAGCAGCAGCCACATCATCATCGCCATCATCTCCACGCGCGCTGCTCTGCTACTGCGGCACCATCATCGCCATCATCACCATGCGCTGCTGCTGCTGCTGCTGCTGCTACTGCTGCTGCTGCTGCTGCGACGCGAACTCGGCGGCCGTAGCGAGCGGCTTCCACCCCTCTCTCCATCATCATCCCATCCACCACCTCACTCAGGGTAACCGCAGGTCCACTGCCATAGCGAAGTGATCCGACGGGTAGGTGAAGGAAGGCGCCCTCTCGGGACCCAGCCCCTCCGCCGACGGTAACGTCGACCCCGCCGCCGGCCTCACCCCTTCGGACAACCACACGTAGTCGATGCAGTGCCTGCTCTCCTTCACGCCGCCCCCCCCCCCCGCAGCCCGAACCTTCCAGGTGGTGAAGAAGTCGTCGCCTAACGGCAGGGGCCGACCGCAGCGCGAGCGGGTGGGCGGTCACCTGCCTGTAGCAGAGCGGCTCGTAGCCGCCGGAGGCGTGGGGGGTGGCGTTGAAGTCGCCGGCGATGATGACCGGGACGGAGCCGGCGGGGAGGCCGCGGGCCTTCTCCTGGCCCGCCCGAAATCTCGCCACTTCGTCCAGCAATTGCTTCGCCTGGGCGTATGTAGAATAATAGCGTGTGTCACTGTTAGGTGTAGATACCTTTCTGATAGGGTAAGTTAGCCCTGTGACCACGGGAATCGGCCGCGCCAGGTGTTAGGATCAGTACGGAGAGAGGGATAGAGAGATCGGAACGCTTCATAATGTGAAGACAACAACAACACAGCAGCAACAAGATACGGATCTGTTGAGATCGAAGGGGGGTTTCGTGCATGAATGGCGGTATGTAGAAGGGTGATCGACCCCCCTCCTACCATGCGTGGGCCCCCAGCGTGCCCTGTTCACTAGGTGACAACCACGGTCTTGAGCCACGACCTTGCTTCGCAGCCTCTGACGACAAGCACCCACGACTCCCAACACATTACGTAAAAGGCGGCTATCGTTACGGTAGACGGGTCACTTCACAATCCAGTACTAGAGCAGGGCCCCTGTGTGTGCCTCCAAGAGATTCAGCCGGCACCCGGCACATTATTTAGACCATGAGACAACTTCCAAACTCCATCTACTATATGCGCGCAGATCACCGGCCTAATACAGGGACCACTAGCACTGCTGCGCAATAAGCGTCGCCCGAGCGTGTGCGTGCGTGCAGGCGACGCCGTCAGGGATGACGTGTACGAGAAAGGGACAAAAAGGGGTGGCAAGGCAGGCACGTAGCACATGCAGCACGTACAGCAGAGGAGAGAACCCTCCCCCCCCCCCCAAAGACCCACCTGCCGCGACCTGATCAGCTCCCCGTGGCCGTCCTTCTTGGCCTTGAGATGAGTCGTCGTCACGATCACAAGCGCTTCGGCTTCCCCTCGCCCCTCCCCGCCACCGCCACCGCCACCGCCGGGTGACGACACCCCGAGCAGCGAGATCAACGCCACCTGGTTCCCGACGACCGGTTCCGCAGGAGGGCCCGCCTTGTCCGTCCCGCCGCCGCCACCGCCGTCGCCGCCGCTGTTGTCGCCGGCGGTGTCGTCCTCTGTTTCCACTACGGCCAAGGAAAACGAGTGTGCGTCCAGCAGATCAAGCTTTGCCGTGGTCTCGGCGCCTCGTTTCCCCGGAACACTATCAGCAGCATCATCGCCGGCGGTGGTGGTGGCTGCGGCTGCCCTGTAGAAGAGCGAGCAGCCGTCCTCGAGGTGGGGGTTGAACGCCATTCCCGGCGCGAGGGGCTTCTTGACGAAGAGGGACCGGTAGCCCTGCTTGGCCAGCATGGGGGAAAGCCAGTCGTGGTGGTGGTCTACTTCCTGCAGGACCAGGACGTCGCAGTCCCACCGGAGGATCTCTTCCAGGAGCTTCCACCTGCAAGAGCGCACGCACGCACGCCGCATCATCGTCGTCGCACCGCCTTGTTTGTTGTTGTTCGCATATTGCGCTCGCTGCTTCAGAAAGAAGGAAAAAAAAAAGAACAAGAACAAGAACAAATACCAAGACGAAGACGAAGACGAAGACCAACAACAATAATAACAACAATAACAACACCAAAACATATGCAGTTTTTCCTGCACTCTTGAATCTGTGGATAGATATATTTTTTGTGTTTGTAAGAAAAAAAAAAAAAAAAAAACAACAACAACAACAACAACCAACACGACCACTAACAATGTTACGACCAGTATTTCCTGCAGCACGGCGGTATACTAGCGCCATGCGGTCAGTCAGGGACCAACGGTTGGAGGCTGTACAGTAGACGCATGTTGAGAGCCATGCTTGATGCGACGGAAATAACGCCACAAAAAGAGAAAAACATGAACGACACCGTCTGGAACCCGTCGTTGACGAACAGATACTTGCCAGAGAATGACAGTTCGAGTCGACAAGGAGAATCGACAGGTAAGGCTAGGAAGGAGGGGGGGGGAGGGGGGGTCGTGATATGCAACGGAGCTGGATGGAGTGGAGAGACGGCATCGGCTTCTGCGCACTTGGCCTCTGTCTCTCTCTCTCTCTCTCTCTCTCTCTCTCTCTCTCTCTCTCTCTCTCTCTCTCTCTCTCTCTCTCTCCGGTGCAGAACGACAATAAAAAAAAATTTCGCCCGAC